GGCGTTGTAACCTTTTAACTGTGTTTCTAGATCATTTTATAGTGTTTTGCGAGAATCCAAAAAAAAAGCTTTTTTATTTTTGTAACTTTGATTTTCTCGTCGCAAAGAACAAAGATTCTTTCTGACTGCTCCTCCTGACTGAGGAAGATTGTCTGAGAATCTATCTGCTACTGGAGAGAGACTTGTCGGTCAGCTGTCAGCAATGCTTTGAAGATAACTTCCTCTTAGAAGTTTAAAAATATGGTGCTTAGCTGAAAACAACGGTTTCTATGATTGAGAAGCAAAGAATAATTGCTCAAAATTCTTAAGTGTCTTTACGGTTTTTACAATGCAAAAATAAAGTATATTTGAAGAAATTAAAAAGAAATCAGTGTTAGCTGTCGTTCTGTCGGTTGCTTAGTGCTTGCATTCAACGCCTTTCTTCAGTACGATCAAAAAATTGAATTTTACTGAACTTGAAACCTTAGTACCTTAGAGAAGCTAGTTTTTTTTTGAACAGGATTATTCTGCTGTTACTTGGTAGGCTATCAACTATTTGAAACTGCGGGTGACAAAGCACGTCTGTTTTAAACATTTTTTTCTGCTTTAGTTGCACTGTCTAAAAACCTCGTAGGAGAGCATCATATGTTCATGTTTTTCGCCTATCCCCTGGTGGTGCTTGTGTGAGTATTAGGAAACAAATCTGCAAAATTCAATTCATGATTAAGTTTTATATGCAGATATTCTTCAGATAGGTTTTTCATGGTTTTTTTAAGCAGACCACTTATCCGACATAACAGTAATTCTTGTAAAAAAATACTGACGAATTAACAGGATCAAAGTATTACTATCAGGGTAGTAACTGTGGCAATAAAGTATATCTCCAACTTTTTTGATTTTCTTGAGACACCGCGTAGCAGGCATATGCTCTTCTTTGTTGTCTTTCCTCTAAGCCAAACCATTTTGCCGAATTCGACGACCTTATTAGACTCTCCTTTCCAGATTTCTGTCTTTAAAAGTTAGTTAATACGTACCTCAAGAAAGGTCTCAAAGTCTGTGACAGTGATGACGCGACCTATAGCGTTACCGGTTTTTCTGATGCAGTTTGCCCATGCTCCAACACAATACTTGTACTCGGTAAGACTATGAGAGAAGTAGCTCTTTAATACGTAAAAAAACTGTTCCGGGGTAAAAACAAATCTTTTCCTGCACTGTCGTCTTTCTGCTTTCTTGCTGAACAAACCACAGCCAAAAACTTGGTAAGCAAAAGCAATTTAAAATGTGTAGTCACTCCTCAAAGTTCCTCTCAAATAAGTAGAGTTTTTTAAAAAGTAATTTTTAATCAAGATTAACCAAACAATCTATATCATAGAACAAAAAAGCGTCTGCTTTTTTTTTTTTTTTT